TGAGTTGACCATACTCATCTGTGGCTGGAAGTAACTTTTGTTGTGGAAGTTGCATATGAATGGTTCCCTCCAAGCTGATACATGAAATGGGCTATGTGTAAATATTGGTGTGACTATACCTGGGGACCTGATTTTGGATAATCCAAAGCATGCATCACTCGGGCGTTGTTGGTTAAAGTTTAGTTTAGTCATCGCTCAAGCTTGCCCTAGTTTGGACACAGAATTTGAGTCACAAAAAGGCATAGGCTAATTGCTGTGTCTGGTCAGGAGACACGTTTTTTTGTTAAACCAAGGCTTTTGAGAGGATTATCCAGCCTCAAATTGACGTGTGTCCTCTCCAGCAAAGAAGAGACAGACGGGTGGGAGGTTCCTTGGTGGATAGACTGTTCAGAGATGTTATGATGGCAATAATTTTAATGATATATTTCCATCAGAGTTAGACGTGACATCTCTGTCAATTGTTCCTTATTTTCTTTTAGGTTCAGCAGTGCCGAGTTTGGCCCCGCCTCCTTCCTTGGGTCGAGCAAGACGAAGCACCACAGGAGCCACTCCAGTATCTAGACAAGGTGAGGAGTGCTGAACAAACCGCATAGGGAAACGAAGTCGATTCACTTGTACTGAAACGTAAGACTGAACAAACATTAGGCTATGGCAATGGCTAACCATAACACAGGTGCCTATAGGAATAGGATGAAGTCACTAATTGATGGCGTCCGTAGGTGAACGTGCAGTTTCCAGCGATGGCCAATAATTTGGACGCCAACCTTTATTGGAGTGAGATTTTATTTCCGCAACTCTGTACTGCCCTACTGAAGATTGCAGGCAGTGTTATGGGTGATTCCATTATGGTTCCTTGTTGGTAGTGGATCCAGAAGTTGGGGAGATGCATTTTTTTTCACTCTTCGAGTTGAATAGACTTTATTCATGAGGCATTGAAAGCTGAGTTAACCTTTCATTTTGAACCTGAGATTAAAAATAAAACCAACGACATTAAAGCTCATTACAAACTAATATCAGTGTATGGCGATTAATAATTTTATATTTGTGACTAAATGTATTTCAGTGTTTTAAGCCAAAACACTGAAAAAAATGAAAATGAACCTTGGAATCCCAAACTTTTGAACCCTCCCATGTAACAAACTACATCAAATAAAATAGATTCAGGGAACGCAATCAATATGGTTCCACCATTAATTAGGTCTGTTTTGATAGTCTGAACTACAGCACCGGTAGAATGCTCAAATCCTGCTCTAGTCAACTATGCGCCCGACATAAATTGGGAACATAATTGCTGAGGAGATAAAATATGAAAGTAACCGTGGCCTAATGAATTTTCTCTGTGCTCTCTTCCAGATTCTCAAGGAAGTAACAGCAGTTATGACCCATTTGGTCAGGCACCGTTCAACCAGCCCCAGACTCTTGGGGTAGCCAGGAGCAATCCCTTCCTTTCCACTGCCTCGTCTGGGTCCTCCCAAGACTTGGACGTCCAACACTTCCAAGAGTTACAGGTAAAGAACATTCTCTGGATCCCCCCCTCCCCCCGCACGGCAGCTTGGGTTTAAGAGTTGCGTCTATCATTGCATCTGTAAGCAGAACTGAAGGCCAAAGTCAACACGAAAATGAAGAATCTCCAAAGCACATTACAGATTTTATACCAGGTTTTGCCCTTGAATGTATCTATTACCCTGCTATCCATCTATGCATTTACACCAGTCAAATAAGCACACTGTTGTCATTGTTGTCAGAGGGTTGTTACAAACTCATAATTGATGTAATGTCTCTGACCATAGACCTAGAGGAAAAATGAAACAGTGGACTGCCAACTCTAGTGAGCGCACGTCGATCTTGCGTCAACCGGAAGTGCTGAAGTTACCAACACAGACAACTTCCGTTTTGCTGTCGTCCGTATATTAAATTGTGCTGCGCACACATTGTGCAAATAAAAACTACACAAAATGCCATAAATTTCCAAGTAATAATTGTGCAGTTGTTGGAAGCAGTGCCTAAAGACACAAATAAGGGGGTTGAGTTTCTGTGGTATACCGAATATCATACCATACTTGTATGATGTCTGTCTCATCCATTCATGTCCATATTGCAATTTTTTTCCACGGAAAACATGAAAAACTAAAAATTCCCAGGCAAAATTATGAGTGTGACGGTCGCAATCATTAATTACACATGAACAACACTTCAAAGATCAACCAGAAGTTTCCTGTGCAGGCAACTCCGGCCGACGGAACATGTACACACGCAATGCGCAGTGCGCCCATTAGAGTAGGCAGTCCATTGTTTTTGTTTCCTCCAGGTCTATGCTCTGACAACTTGCTGTGCGTTGGTTCACTGGATTCAAGCTAGCCATCTGATCCCGGCAAGCTCAATGGCCGAGTGGTTAAGATGTCTGCACTTCTAAGCAGGACTTTGTGGATGTGAATCCCTCCCAAGCAAGCTTTCAATTGTGAATGTATTACAACAGTGTCAGAAAAGTTGTCAAGGGGGTGCCCGTGTGGTGAACATTGGAGTCCAACAAAACTTGGACCGTTTTCCAATACTCAACTTCATCTCCGTCTCAGGCTTCATCTGGGTCTGAAGCGTTTAAATTAAATTGAAGTGATGTAATATTTGGCTCTCTTGCATCATATTTCATGTTTTGTGGCACTATCAGACTAACTATTGTGCTTACAACTTCAAAGTCAGGTAGTAAAAAAACCAGTTGAAGCCTGAGATGGAGTCGAAGACAAGTATTGGAAAACGGCACTGTTGCACTGATTTTAACATTTTTACTTGCAAGACATTTACATGTAGCTATTGGTTGCCCCACACCGTGCACGTAATATTTAATCTGAAATCATGTTGAACAAAAGAAATCCATTGCAGCCTGTCGAATCAAATTATTTTGTGAAAATTTCTCCCTGATATTTTTGCCTGAACACAAACAGGAAGGTTTTGCCAGTGGGTTGACCATTGGCAACGCAGATCTGTCCTTGGCTGATTTGGATCCCCTGAAAAATCTGAGCTCCTGTTAATCAAGAGAGGGCGCTCTCCACCCATGGCGGCAGTCACAGGTGACCTGCTCTCACATTTTTCAACATCTTATCCGTTGATGCATGCTTTCATTCACCCTGAAATGTAACTCCCCAGCAACTTGATTTGGTTGGTAACAGTTTGAAAGAAATTTAAAACGTTGCAGTAAAGGCTGCAAAAGACCTTTTTGCACCGGATGTGTGCACAATTACATTTGTAAAGTTTGTTCTGTAATTAAGAACATTGTATGAAGCCTGTTGAAATTTGAAAGATTATTTTGTTTCTGCTATTAAATGTTCCATTTAGATAGCATCATTTTTTGTTAAGTTTGATAAGTTTCTAAAATGCAACAAATTTTGCACTAACTCATGATGGAACATTATTAACTCGCTGTTCCTTGAAATGTTGACTGTCAACGTAGAAGGTATCAAAAGTGTATTTTCGGCAATAATAGAAGTTGCCAGTATCAAACCTGTAACACCCCCCCAAAAAAGGAGGGGTGGAAAATGGCTTGTAAGATTTATATTTCTTCAGCTATAGCCCTCCCCCCACCAAAAAACGGTGGAAGGGATTTCCTTTCTAGTTTGGACCCAAGTCATAGTTTCATCTTTGGCGAAAGTACAGACAATAACTGCAAGACACTTTCAGCAATGTATCCACCATGTGCCCATGCTCTCCTGTATTTCTGATGCGAAGACTCAATGGGTGCATTAGAGCGAGCTGCTCGCATGAACACAAGCATACTCCTGAGTGCTTGAACGGCTGGAGTACGACCCGAGGGTCAGCGAGAATATACTGCTGTACCCGAGTGTAATGTGCACGCATCTTGCTCGTGTTAACAGGAGTAACCGCGCGAATGCACCCAATGGTTCGGTCGTGCTGAAAATTAATTCAAGTGCACTTTTTACTGTACACGCACAATAGTGAATGTGCATAGGTTGTGATGTTACTATGCCTGGGACTCGTGAGCGGGCCTCACAGAACCATTCATCATTCTTGTGCTACAGACTTTGTCAACAATGCTGGCTTGATTCGATCAGAAAACATTTTGTTCAAAGGATCATACCGTTGCTAGCAGAGTTGCCTAACTTGCATTGATATCAAGTAAGTTCTCTCTCCATAGGTGGGAGCATTGATATCAAGTAAGTTCTCTCTCCATAGGTGGGAGCAGGTAGGCATTGAAGTCTGAGGAAACCGTATTTTCAAAGAAAGTTAAGAAAGAAAGAACAGAATAAACATTTTGTTTTTTCATCACTGGTCAATCAGTTTTTCAGTGACATCTCATATTCTTAAGCCAATATTGGAAAATAAACTATTTGCCTTAAATTGTGCTTTTATATCATGATAATGTATGTTGTTCATTAACCTTTTTTCTTTACTAATCAATTTGACTTCCAACTTTTCATATCACTTTTGATAGACCGTGATTCTGTGGGGAAGGGGGATATTGAATGTCAACTTGGTTATTTTTTTTAGTGATACGGTATATGATGTCGTTTTATTATGTAACACCTTCCTGAGGCCCAAAGCACCCCATTGGTGTATCATTTTGCTAACCAGAAGTACTAAAGGTGAACCTCTTTCATACAAAGTTTCCTGAATATGGGAGGGGTGCTGTGTTTGAAGGTCTTGACGCTTGTGGGCGATAACGGGGTCTTTTGTGCCTTAATTAAATCCTTTTGTGCCCCACTCTCAGCAGATAGTAAATTCCAACAGCAAAACTGTACAAGAGAATACCTATATATTTTACAAATACATGTAACTGACCAAAGGTACTCCCACACCCCCTTGTAACCGTCACTCTCATCAATTTTTATGCACTTGTTTACTCAGACTATCACATTAACCTATGCATAATCAAAGTTTTATATTTATATATTCTCTGAGAGCATAACAGACTTGTATTCTGAAGGAAATTGTACTTTTGTATTTTGTCTTTGTCGGGGGGATGTTTCAGGCTTGGAAGATGCCTAGGTAAGTTTAATTTTGAGGATAATTAAATCAAGAGAACATCTGGTTATGCCCTAAAATGGTCCAAGATAAGTGTAGACTTACAAAAAAGTTTATAGATCTGTAAATGACAAATGATGGTTAACGACGGTTTTCAGTATCTTCTAGAATACTTCAAGTCTACAACGTCACCAGTATACAAATGTATGTCATTTTGACTGGTAAATTTGGAATCTCCTAAGCAGGATCTTGACTTTAAAGTTCATGCAGAACTTTACTCTTGAATACTGTTGTACCCCTCTCACTTAAAGCTGCGCTATGAATACAATATGATGCAATGCAATTTGTACAATTACCTAACGAGTGTACTGCTCCTTTAATATTGTAGAGTAAATTTTTTTGGTATATCATTAACTTTACTGGCTTAGTTCTATGTGCACTTCTGTAAGATTGTACCGACAATATTAAGGTTATTGACAAACGTACATGTTGAGCCGGCCACTCCACATAAATGCACCACTTTTGCGATGGTGGGTATTTATATATCTGATTACAATGTAAATGGGGAATCAATTTCTGTTGGATTGTAAATAGGTGAAGTCTGAAAGGGATAATCCATGCTGGAAGCCCTTGAAGACTACTCAGTGGATGCATTTGGGGGGGGCAGTGCTACTGGAACAGGCTGCTTAACCACTTCAATCCGGGGCATTTTTCAACGTTGATGATGCTGGGCCGGCATGACTATCATTTTTTCCATTTTCAAAATCCTCAAAAATTCATCATTTTATTTAACGGTCGTTTATAGCTGCACGAAGTAATCTTCAGGCACTATTCTAAGCTGATAGGTGACCTTCATTGACACCCGAGTATTTCAGCCAGGCCTGCAGCCTTGTAAACGGGTCCAGATTGTGCGGTGTTATATAACTGTCTTTTGTTCACGAACCGGGCTCAGTGCACTGCTGACCTCTTTTCAATAGGGGCCAGATTAGCATGCAGCGGTGCTGTGTGGCTCATCGCTGCGGTGGTGGAGCGCTTTTGTCCCCGGTGGTAATCCGCTCGCTCTCAATGCCCCAAGCGTGGTATAGG